TCATGCTGAAGAATATTGGAGGTTCTTAGAGCATATAAAGTCTCTTGAAATAAATATTTCCTTCCTTGAGGCTCTAATTGAAATGCCTAAATTTGCCAAGTTCCTCAAGGACCTTTTAACAAACCAAAAGAAAATGAAGGGATTATCAAAGGTTAATGAAACTTGTTCAGCTGCAATGCTAAACATGTTACCGAAGAAGATGGGTGATCCAGGAAACATAACTTCACAATGCTAAATCGGGAATCTAGCAACTAGTCATGCTCTAGCCGATTTTGGAGCTAGTAGTAATTTGATGCCCCATTCAACTTTTCTAAAGAATGTCATGAAGCATTTCAAATGTTAAAGGAAAAGTTGACCACTACTCTTATTATGATAGCACCAAATTGGAGCCTTCCTTTCGAGCTTATGTGTGATGCTAGTGATAATGCAGTTGGAGCTGTTTTGGCTAATAAATTGACAAACATTTTCAGCCTATTTATTATGCTAGCAAAAACTTGAACCCAACTCAAGAGAATTACACTACTACCGAGAAGGAGCTGCTCGTGGTGGTTTATGCTTTTGATAAATTACGCCCACATCTAGTCTTGTCAAAGACAATTTTATTCACCGACCATTCTGCTCTTAAGTATCTCTTTGCTAAACAAGAGGCTAAACCAAGACTAATATGTTGGCTATTGCTTTTACAAGAGTTTGGTATTGAGATTAGCGACAAAAAGGGAATGGAAAACGTAGTGGCTGATCACTTATTACGATTGGAGAACCCGCACTTGGAAGAATAGAAGAAAACAAGATTGGAGATGATTTTCTCGAAGAGTATCTTATGGTTATAGCAGGATAAATACCTTGGTATGCAGATTTAGCCAACTACTTAGCAAGTGACTATATACCAAAAGATTTGACAAGACAACAAAAGAAGTAATTCTTTTCTGAAATTAAGTATTATTTTTGGGATGAGCCATACTGTAACACCCGCTTCCTGGTACATATTTAAATTCAAGTAGCTCCATGTTTTGCTTTGGGACTCAGTGAGTTGGAGGCCCAATGCGTCGAGTAGACTCGGATTTTGATCACGGGGTTAAGTGACCTACTCGATGAGTTGGGAGACCGACTCGACGAGTAGGACTGTCTAAATGAAACCCTAGTATTTGGGTCTGCACCCTATTTAAACAACTTATAACACCACCGACCAGCCTCCATTGTCCCTCCCAACCCAGAGAAAACCCTAACTCGAAACCCTAGCCATTATTGTATGTTCTTGAGCTTGTTGGTACCTTTTGTGTGTTTTAAAGGTGGAAGGGAGGAAGGAAGCTTGGGAGTTCAAGTAAAAGCAAGAAGATCCAGAGTTTACTCTCAGCTCATTCAAGGTTAAAAGTTGGAACATTGACCATCTATCTCTTAGATTTTGATTTAGGGCTATTTATACCCTTTTTATGAGCATAGTGAAGCCATAACTGGATTTTGTATGTGTGCTTGGTGTTGCACTTCAGATCTGGAACTATTAGGAGTCCATATGGCATAAAGGTGCCAACTTTGTTGCCATAAGCACCCCATGCATCTTGTAGACTTCTTTTATGGTCTTTTAAGTCAAAAACCCCATGCATGGAAGTTGAGATTAGGACTTTACGTATGAAATGGATCTTAGGAGGTCAGATCTATGGTTTTGATGCATTAAGACCCGTTATAATTGACTGGATAGTTTTGATCATAGAGGTACTCGACAAGTCTCTTGGGAGATTCGGCGAGTTGGGTCTCTTTTTCTTGTAATGTCTTCTGGAAGTGGTTTTGGTCGAGTGGGGGGGGGGGGACACTCAACCTGTTAGGAGGTTTGTGTTGGACTTGAAGATCAAAGGACTCGACGAGTTCAATAACGAACTCGACGAGTTCAAGACAATGTCCCAACCACATGAAGATGGAATCGATGAGTTCAATGAGAACTCAGCGAGTCATAGACTGAACACCTTCATATGGATGAAGATAAACTCGACGAGTTCAAGGACGAACTCGGCGAGTCGGTTGAAGATAGTTCGATGTTTTGTTGAAGGCGAACTCATCGAGCTCTTGCTAGGCTCGACGTGTAGGGAAGGGATTATGGCATTTTATAGATATGGGGACTTGACGAGTTGGTAACCAACTCGGTGATTCGAGTCAACCAGATGTTGACTTTAACCAGATGATTGACCATTGACCAAGGTGTTGACGTTGACCTTGTCTTAGACTTGAGTTGACCCTTGTAAGGGTTACAAGTATGAATTGATAAGTTAGAAAAGTTGTTGTGTAAGGATTGAGGATTCGAGGAGAGTTGGTTTTCATATCAAGATCAGTGCAGACACTACACGACTTTGAGGTGAGTTTTCTCCTGGTAGGAGTGGGTCTACAGCCACACTGCTGGCCTACAAGTAAGAGTGTTGGGTAGATGATTATCTTTGTGATAATTATCTAGTGTTGATATGAGATACGATTATTGTGCCTGATATGATTATTGTGCTTGATATGTTTATTGTGCTTGATATGTGTTGGTAGTAGTAGGGGTGAAATAGTCCCCGGTTACCGGTTAAAGATACAGAAGGGGAGGGTAGCTCCCAGTTTCCGGTTGAAAAATACCGAAGGGGAGGTTAGTTACCAGTTACCGGTTGAAAGATACCAAGGAGGAGTCCAACTCCTAGCTATGCCCGACAGTTACCGGTGGAAAGATACCGAAGATTATGCAATATTTGGTATGGGTATGATAGGGGAACTCACTAAGCTTTATGCTTACGGTTTTTAGTTTTGGTTTCACATACCTCTTCATCTAAGGGGAAGGAGTCGACGGGGTAGCAGCACATCACACATTCACACATGATATTCCGCATTTGAGAAACCTTAAATTGTACTCTGATATTATACTATTTACTAATATGGTTTTGAGACTTGTGATATGTGACTTTATGTTTGAAAGGATTTCAATGTTGTTTTCCGTTAACTATTTTTACAGTTAATATAGTTTAAAACAAAAAAATTTCGGTCTCAATTTTGGGATATTACACATACCTCTTTTGAAGCTGCGTGGATGGTATGATAAGAAGATGTGTATTCGGTAAAGAGAGTCGAGAAATCTTGAAACATTGTCACAGCGGGTCCATCGGAGGACATCATGGAGCACAATATACGGCTAAGAAGATTTTTGATACGGGTTTTTAGTTGCCAACAACCTTTAAAGATGTTGCTCAATACGTTAAGGAGTGTGATTCATGCCAAAGGTCAGGAAATATTTTCATCCCGAAACAAGATGACTCAAAATAGCATTCAAGTTTGTGAGATATTTGATATATAGGGGATTGACTTTATGGGACCATTTCCAATATCAAAAGGGAATAAATACATCTTGGTGGTAGTCGACTATGTATCTAAATGGGCGGAAGCACAAGCACTACCTACTAATGATGCTCAAGTCGTGGTGTGTTTTCTTAAAAAGTTATTCTCGACGTTTGGAGTTCCTAAAGCTCTTATTAGTTATCGGGGCCCCCACTTTGCAAATGATCAATTAGCTAAGGTGTTGTAAAAATATGGTGTACACCATAGGTTTTCAACATCATACCATCCACAAACAAGTGGGCAAACCGAAGTTACAAACCGGGCATTAAAACGAATATTGGAGCGGTCGGTTGGAAGTAATAAAAAAGAGTGGTCGGACAAGCTTGATGATGCACTTTGGACATTTCGAATAGATTTTAGAACACTTATTGGTACTACACCATATAGGTTGGTGTATGGAAAGAATTGCCACCCAATTGATGCAAATGAATACCCTTGAAGAACTTAGAAATGAAGCATACACTAGTTCATTAATGTATAAGGACAAGATAAATAAATGGCATGACATGAGACTAAAAGGTCATCAAGATTTTCATGAAGGAAAAAAGGTGTTACTCTTCAATTCAAGGTTAAAGCTTTTCCTGGGAAAATTACAAACTAGGTGGGATGGGTCGTTTATTGTTAAACAAGTTTTCCCACATGGATCTATTGAGTTTATATTAAGAGACAGAATCCCTTTCAAAGTTAACAGACATAGAGTGAAACATTATGAAGAAGGAATGCCACTTGAAGAAAAAGAAGGGGTAATTATCAAATTCACACGAGTTGAAACAACTTGAAGCGAGAAGGAGTCCGGCTTATGAATCCCCAAAAAGAAGCGCTTGCAGGAGGCAACCTGTGATTCTTGAGTTTGCATTTTTCTTTCCTTTTCCTTTATTTTTCTTTTGTTTGTTTTCATTTTATTTATGTTTTATACTCTCATTCTTCTAAATTTCTGTGGAATTCAACGTAGTGAATGGAATAAAATGAGCGTGGGGGTGGTACATTTATATAAAATTTTGACTAATTTGGAACTTTTCTAAAAAAAGTACCACCACGACGTGGTGAAAGCCACCACGAGGTGGTAAACTGACAAAACCCGAAAACATATTTTTAAAGGTAGTACCACGACGTGGTGTTGGTTTCACTGCAGTAAATTTAGGGTTTTTAAACTTAAGTCAAAACACTTTCAGAATTTTACACCGCCTCTCTATCGTCGCGAGCCTACCCCCACAAAGAACTCACGTTTTCTTGCTTTGATTTCTATCAATTTTCGACCAAAAGGTATGATTTTTGTGTGATTCATTTACTCTTAATCATATCCTATGCTAGTATAGGGTATTCATTTGCTGATTAGAACAATTTTAGGGCTGAAATTAACACCCTAGGGCTTCAATTGTTGCAAAAATTGGACCCGATTCTTGATGTTTTTCACTTGATTTTGTTACCATTCTACTCTATATTATGCCTAGAACAAACCCTGAAGTTATATTGAGTTGAAATGGTATGGATTAAGGACCGATTGAACCATAGAATCACGATTGTATGACGACCACAACGACTCGTTGTGGTCCTCATCGTGGTGGGGTATTTTAAGGCCTTTTCTAATATATTTTGATGGTAATAATGCACAGGGTTCTTCATGTTCTCTTTGTGGTTATTTTGCAGACATGGCCAACCGACCAACACGCTACCAACCCGGGAGTCGCTACGACTTTCCTTGGTACACTATTCCACGAAATGTTGGGCCCGAGATTTATACGAGATGGAATGCAAAGCTTGATTGGCTAAAGCAACGAAAAGTTCATGTGCTTGCAATGGTAAATTGGTAGTGGATGAGCAAAACCGGATTGATGGAAGCGATTGAACCTTATCTTGATAAAATTTTTAATGGAATTCATGGGCAATTTCTTTGTTTGGGCTAAAGATGGATATTCCACATTCAAGAGATCGTGTATAAGGAACTAGTCATCGAGTTTTTAGCAAGGGTTTCTTTTGCGAGGAAGGATGGCATTTATGCTGACAACAACCTCACGTTTTGCCTCGGCGACGAGAGGCACGCTCTTAGCCTTGCGGATTTTGCACTAAGGATGGAGATTTACCTCCCGTCCGAAGTTCATTCTGAATCTTGTCAACAATATATTGCAGGTTGTGCGAGAAATACAGAGGGGTTTAAAGGAGAAACGCATTGGAATGTGTGACAACCCGATATTTTTCAAACCAATGTAACATTCAAAATGTCAAATATAATGAACTATTTGGAATCAAAGAAATCAGCATAAAAAATGAAGTGTTCTAAAACCTAAATTGGGATGCATAAAGTGTTAGATATCGTGAAAAAGTTTCCAAAAATGTAAAGAACACTCAAATCCGAGTTATAATGAAGAAGTTACGATTTTTCTAAGTTTCGAAACAGCGATAGATAGCTAAAAACTCGGGATAAAGATCGAGCGATTTTTAGCCGACACAACCTAAACGAGAGTTGAAGGTCTCTACAATAGTAGCATAATGGTAAAAAGTCAGACAAAAACGGACATCAGATAAAGAAGTTATGAATTTTTAACGAAATTACCCTATCCCGGCCTATTTAAAATAATATTATAAAATTAAAGTCAAAATTAGCCGACGGAGTCTAAATGAAAGTTGTAGAGTATATTTTCACCTACGCGTGGATATAAAGAACGTCAAAAACAGAGCTCGTATGCGAAAGTTATGCATTTTTGAAGTTTTTGGCACGCATTACAAAGCTTATCCAAAGGAGTACGCCCAACGTACGTAGTGTGCGGACTCGGATCGGCCACGTCGCCCCTACCCCCTCTACGACATCCCATCCGAAGACAGAAGCCCGGAGACGTCATCGCTGACGTACGCCCCACGTACGAAGGGTACGCCCAACGTACTTCGGAGTACGCCCAGCGTACAAGGCCTGGTAGCCCACCTATAAATAACTTGCGAGACCCTCTGACTTTCCTTGCCCATTTCACTCCTCTCTCTCACTTTTACTCCCCGTTTAGCATCCAGAGACGACCCTGACACCCCGGTTTCATATCCCAGCCTCAACGAAGGATCGAAGCCCCGAGATATCCGAGAGTCTCTCCACTTTCTGGTCGAAGTGCCGCTCGATAAAAACTCGCTTTCTTCGAATCGTCACACTTTCCAAGTGAGTTCATACCCCTACCTTCTTTTCACATCTTTTCATATATATATATATATATATATATTTTTTGGGGGGGGGGGGAATACAAGTGTAATACGAGGAAACACTCATCGTTTTATACAGATTCAAATACACCACCTACATTTTATAAATATTAAACAACTTCGATATCAACATATAAACTATATACAAAGTTAGTATTACATCGAGTTTTTATCACCAAACGGTACACATTTTCGGAAAAACTATAATGGGTATAGTGTACAAGTTATTCATTACATCTTTACGTAAACATTGTGAAAATGAAATACTTTCATCTACATGACATATAGACTTTTCTTTCATAAATCTATTAATACTAAGTGTTGTGAGATATTCAAATTCAACGTACTCTCAAGTACGCATTTCAAGCCTTGTATTATAAACCATAATCTCTTGGAGAGAGAGCGTGATATTTGTGTATAGATCTATATGGGATTGAGAGTCCCGCACCTAAACTGTTAGCTACAGATAGACCGATAGGTCTGGGGTAACAAACGTCATAACATAGCAACTCCTGAAGAACATTGTTACAGGCAGTCTGGGTCAATAGCATGGTTATAAAACTCACACGGAAGTATTAACATAAGTTTGATTTACGAGACTCTTGAATGCATACAGTAAAAACATTATTTGGGTATAAATACACTTTCACCATTTTGAACACGAAAGATATTATTGCACTCCAACCTTTGGAACTTTTTCTAACTATATGTAGAAAATATTGGATTTTTTTTTTGGGAAACATGTTCAGATACTTTTGCTAAAGGACATACAAATTTTCAGTACAAAAATGCTTATGAACTCACCAACTTAATTATTGATACTTTTCAAAACTACTTGTATTTCTCAGAGAATCAGTAATACAGGTAACCATCAGCTTTTGGAGAAGGAATGCTAAGGCGTCTATTATCAAAACATTTTAAATCATCATATTTGTAATATTCTTTTGAAACATGTATTACACACAACAATGTAAGCTTTTATTATATTTATGATGGTTGTGTTTACTTTCTTTACAATATTCAACTGTTATGATACTACGTGAAGTCATCCACCTTCGAATGTTTCCGCCATTCTGGTTTGGGGGTGTGACAGAATGCAATTGCAAATTGAGTTTATGATAAGGGAACTGCTCAAGAGAGTGACATCTTCTCTTCTGTCCATCGATTGTTGCACCGCCTAATCACCAAAACTATTAATCAACAACAAGAAAGGGATACGTGTCCAACTATAGACGTATTTTTCTTATGGGCTCTTACTTCCGACAATACTCATGTAGACCTACCATTTCTGTTGGTGGATTTTCTTGCGATCCAGGCGGAAAAAGATAGGCGAGAGTCTCCAGTATATGGTGGTATGTTGTTTACCCAACTTGCACATTCATATGGCGTATTTGACAAATGTGAATCCATGATGTTGACTGTGGAGCCACAAAATCCCTTCTCTACACTTCTTTAAAAGAGGGCGAATATTGTCGTTGATCATGGATATGGTAATTTTGGTATTCTAGATGACACTCCACGAGGCCGAGTTCCGAGGTGGGTAAGACAAATGGGAAATGAACCTAAAGGAGAGGAGCCACCAGTTTTCCCAACCAATGATGAGATGCCCATGAATCCTTATTGCTATGAGGAGGTTTGATGATAACTTGGCACAGGGTGTCAATTACACTAACATGGGCCTAGGCCACTTTATGCAACAAATGCATGTGACCCGCATGCTCATTTTCCTCCTGTTTATCCATATATACCAAGTTGGGAGGAATTGTGGAGAGAGCAACAAGGTGGAGCGCGTGGTAGTGGAGGAGGAGGTGATGATGGAGAAGATGAAGATTGAGAATTTTAACCTTTTGATTTAGTGGCTTGAAGACTTATTTCATTATCCTTTTTCTTTTTATGATTGTTTTGTTTGTGTGGTTTGGGTGTTTGACACTTATTACCTTTTGGTTTTGGTTGTTTGATGAATGTTTCCTTCTTTTATTACTTTTCCTTGTTTTAGTTTCAGGGTATTATTTTAGTGTTCAAGTAAGGGTATTAGTGGCAAAAGAAGGTTCTTTATAGAGTACGTTTAGGAGACGACGGTAGAGATGAGATTTGAGTAATTTTCGGGTGTTTATTTGAGTCATTGAGTGAGGATTCATGTCCAACCGCTTCATATGTTACTTGGTGCCACGTATATTTTGAGAATCAGTACACTCGGGCATAGAATTTTCTAATTTCAAGACTAACACGACGTGGTAATTCCCACCACGTCATGTTGTCGCAATCAGAACACCTCGAATTTATTCTGTTTGATTCACCACGACGTGGTGATATCCACCATGTGGTGATGCCACCCGAGTCCGTTTTACAAGTCTGATCCCGTACTTTCGGAATTTTAGGTGTTCGAGAGTGGCGTTTCTAACTTTATATTCAATTTCATGGTCTGGATGAGCTGTTCCCACACCTTGGAATTTAATTTTCACGCAATGCTGATGAATTGTCCCAGCTGCCACGACATGGTTTACACTTTCCTTTATCTTGGGGGAGTTGCTCATCGCATTACGAGGATGCCATTCTACTTTCCGATTTTGTTTCAACACTTTCACGCAACCTACTTTACCCACACGTTTCCACACCATTCAAGATGCATGTTCTATCCCAGGGGAGTCTGTTTTTTCTCTTTTTTTTTTTAATTATCTATTTTCCATAGCATGCAATGAGGGCGTTGCATGAAATAAGTGTAGGGTAGGGGTATAGCATAAGAAAAAGCTTGTGATTTTTAAAAATATTTTCATTGCTAGTTTTCAAATTGGCATTCACATAAACTTGAAATAATAGTTTAATTTAGGGAACTTAGCTAATTAAAATCTTTGCTAGCATAGTATTGGATGATCCGATGAGAATCCAAATGTTTACCCGATCCAACACATGTTACAATGTATTTGTCGCTTCCCATTTCCTAGTGAAAAGTCATGAGGTATGAAAGGTAATTTGGTAGCTTATATGGCATAATACATTCGGCAGTCTAAACCTGAAATCTATCCATGAAAGCTTAGGTAGTCATTGCACTTAGACTAATACCTTAACCAATAAAGGTTGAAGCTAAGCTCCTTGCTTAAGCATGTAGGATTTGAGTGAGAAAACAAAACTGAGATATACATGTAAAAAAAGAGAGAGAATTTACCAACAAGGGAAAGAATTTTGGAGCTATCAAAATGTGAAGATCAAAAGATCAAAATTCTAAAGAAACCCAAAAAGTTGAAGATACCAAAAATTAAACAAAAAATGTGGTGAATTCAAAGAAATCAAATATACAAAGAAAATGAAGAATTCAAGAGCTCAATTGTGGTATCAGGGTCGTAATTTCTAGAATTTATGTATGCTTGGTTGTTTAGCCAAAAATATATTGAGGTTAAGAAAGATTTTTGAGGATTGATTCAGAGGGTTGCAAAAATGAGTGTTATATAAGCTAAGGGGTGAAGGTTTATAAGGATTCTGAGTATTTAGGAGTAGGGAGCTCTTAGGAGTTATAGACACAAATACATGCATTGAGGTCTTGGGATAATGGCTGGATTTAAAATGGATTGTTTTGTACATTGTTGGTAAAATTAAAAAAATCAATTTGCTTGAGGGCAAGCAAAGAATAACTGTGTGGTATTTTGATATGTGTATATTTATACACATAATTATACATCAAAAATTAATATTTTAATTAATTTTATGCTCTTAATAGAACAAAAGATACTTAATTTGCTATGAATTATGTTGTAGGTACAAAAGTCATGTGTGGAGCAAAATGGAAGTTGGAAGCTGGTAGTCGGATGCTGGAAGTTGGAAGTTTGGATCAAAGCACTTAAATGATGAAAAATACACCCAACATGACGTGGTGACATGAAGATTCCCAATCAATTTCGAAGACTTGTAAAACAGAGATAAACACGAAGACCACATCGTGGTGATCTGATTTCGAGAAAACTATATAAAGACCTCATTCTCCTCCGAATTTGGACTTTTGGCTCTGAAGAGAGTCATCATTTTTGAAGGTGAAACACATGTTCTAAGGATTGGAAGCAAGGAATTCAATCATACCATTGGAAGTAAGAGGATTAAGGCAACCAATCTCTACACTTTGATTTTTAATTAGTGTTTACCATGTCAAACTCTTTGAATTTCGATTGTGTGCTCTTGTTTTGTAACACCCAAAAATTAGGTATGTCTTGAAACCCTAAGGAAATTATATTTTGCATGAATGGTACCTTAGGTACGCTGGGCGTACTTAAGTGTATGCTTGGCGTACTATGCATGGTTGGTCGCAGGGAGAATTGTGGTACGCTAGGTGTACCAAGCTTTATGCGGGACGTATGCGCCAGAGGTGTAAAACCCTAATTTTCGGACATGAGGCCTATTTAAGCGACCTTAAGCCCCTTGGACTTAACCCTAGAGAGCCTCCATAGCCCTAGAGCATCCTTGTACCCCAGAGAACCATGTGAGATCATTATTGAGCTTAAAAGAGTGCATTTGTGACCTTTTAGTGTTCATTACAAGAAGACGAAGCGGTCAAGCAAGTTTGGAACGTGTAGGTGATTCAAGATCCTGCATCAAATTCACCTTACAAAGCTTCTGGAGGTAAAAAAAAGCTTGCACCTTTCCATCTAAATCCTTAGATCTAGTGTGACATCCCCAAAATCTCGGCCAGAAAATACCGATTTCATTTATGCTTTTTAAAATAATTTTCAGAGTAAATCCTTTTAATTTTAAAAGAGATGCGGAATTTGTTCCCAAAAACAAAACATGATAAAATAGATATTTATCAAAACATTTCATAAAGAAATATGATTTCATTTCATAATCAAAAGTCGGGATGTCATGTTCCGATACAGGTCATAAAGCATAAACGATAACATTACAAGTCGTTCAACAAATATATACATATACAGACTTGTAAACAAAACAATTTGATGTTCGCCCATCTTAAGCTCTTGCGCCACTTCCTGTAAAATAAATCAACTGAGTGGGTCAGGCTTGGGAGCCTGGTGAGCATATAGGGTTTTCAACCCACAATAATTATATTTAATTTCAACAATCAACAATAAACCCGATTACCCATTCCCGTTATCCTCACCTTACGTTCCTAAAAATAACGTCTATTATAAGGAACCTATTTCAGGATTTTTCATCGGGACGGATATTACTGCAGAGGGGCTTCCTCAACAATAAGTATCCTAAAGGCAACCATGTGGGGGATAGAGTACACCGGTGAACACGTCGTTCACAACACCTACAGGTAATGAGCCTGCTAGTGTTCCACAGGACAGTCTAGAATAGTCCGTGGTCGTCATCCATACTCTGCTGAATGACTAGAATAACACCAATAACACCGAGGCCTCTCATCTGTTTATTACACACCAATTATCTACCCATGTTCTACCCAACATATTAGTAGATAAAAATATACATTTTTATACATAGTTTAAAAACCTGTATAACATGTTTTAATCAACACATATTCCACATAACAGATGAGGCATACACACATAACACGTATTTCATAGAGAATACATCAGATCTGTAAGATAGAAGAGAGTGAATATACACTCACACGTATAACAACCAAATATATACACATAACACGTATTTTATAGAAAATACTTCATAATATTGTGTTGGAATGAAAATAACTACACACTCACTTGATCAAAAGATGATCGGGCAGCACTACGGCTTGTAGAAGAGGTGTTTCTCCGTAGATCTGGAAGATCTTCACAAAACCGGGCTCCTCGCGGGCAGCGTTTCGGCTCGGGAATAACGCTCTTCGAGATCCTCGGGGCTTCGGATCTTGCTTCGGGGCTCGGGAATATTACCGGGGCTTTGGGGTATGATTGGCACGCAAATCGAGGCAAAACTTTGAGAGAGGGAAGAGTTTGAACAAGAGAAAATGGCTGAATTTGAGTTCTATTTATAGGCTGCTGGGTCTGGGATTACGCGGGGCGTACTTTGACGTCACTGCGTGCGTCGACTGGTGGCACTCGAGTATTGGTCAGACAAGTTGCAACCGACTGAGTACGCGGGGCGTACTCAAATTACGCGGGGCGTAATTGACTTGTCAAACTTCTAAATTGCGTAACTTTCGCATACGAGCTCCGTTTTCGACGTTCTTTATATCCACGTGAAGGTCAGACCGTACTCTACAACTTTCATTTAGACTCCGTCGGCTAATTTTGACTTTTATTTTTATTATTTATTTTTAGAAGGCTCGGACAGGAAAACTTCGTTATAAAATCATAACTTCTTCGTCTGACGTCCGTTCTCGCCTAACTTTTCATCGTTTCGCTACTAACAACAAGATCTTCGATTCTCATTTAGATTGTTTCGGCTAAAAACCGCTCGATCTCAAATCGAGTATTCGGGCTGTATACTGCTAAGTCGAAACTTAGAAAAATCATAACTTCCTCATACGAAGTCAGATTTGGGCGTTCCTTTTATGCATGCTCTCGGTTTAACGAAATCTACGACTTTCGTTTAGATCGCTAAGGCTAAATATCGCTCTATCTTAAATTAATATTTTACGTCACTCGGCGTCATGTCGGTTCTGTCGCGAAACTTCGACAGGTCATAACTTCTTCGTTATAACTCGGATTTTGGCATTCCTTATATCTCCGG